AACAAGATTGCAACCTTCGGAGTGGACAAATCTTTCGGTACGACGCTGGGAATTATCATACTTACAATAGGAGACGACTTCGTGCAAGAAGCCTCCAACTAAATCAATCTGACAACACGACCATGATGCAATAACAAGCTCAAATCAGGTTTATAATTCACGAGAGTTAGACTATGTCTTTATTTGTGCGCTTTCACTTAAAATATATATTTTTTAAGTATTTTTCGTTGCTTCACAATTCAATAGGATCCAAATAAATTTGATTGCAAAATCTTGTCCTTTTAGTTCATACTTACTAAGAGCTTTCTAGCAAGTTCCAGAACCTTTTAAGGCAAATACTGGCTTTCATTCTGCCCCTTGAAAGAACATAATTATAAAACACCCTGTTTTTATGGTAAAAGCGAATACTCCACGCGTATATTATACCTGCAATCGCAATAACGAAGTATGTACGATTCTCTTTATATGAAAAGAGAAATAATTACACTCTTAGCCAACTTATTCACTATAATCTATTTTAATTTTTCCACACCAAAATGTTTTGGCCACCGCTTCTAGAGCAAAATTTAGTTACTTAAACTTAATGCTTCATTTCATAATTCTCTGCTCGAAAACCTCAGCCTTTTTGCAGTTATGTATTTTATAATTCCAATGTTGGCTATTTGGTTATGGTTAGATAAAATTCGAGTTAGATCCACTACACAACTAAGCAATTAATTCACGTCCCTCCAAAGCTGATCTGTCACCTTACATGGTTAAGCTTCAAGATACCGAGGACATCTGATATTATCTTGTTCACCTGTGAAATCGATTTTTTCGTTGGCCTCATTCTCAACTTCATCTTTGCCCCCCTATAACTAATCCTCAAAATAACTTCCCAGCAATCTGAGCGTTGGACATGCCTCTTGAAACAACTGTTTCTTATTTTGACAAGTTGTATTTTGTCAAATGGGAGTCAATGCAAGGCCTCTTAATTTGCTCATCAGAAAGCTTATTTAACTTTAGTTTAATACTACTCATCTCTTTTAACTGCATATTCTTAAATGATTGAGAACCTCCTTGAACTTCTGATTATATTTGAGATTTTTGTCCAAAGCTTTGACATTTTCACTTACCAGAGGCTTTATAGATAGAAGCATGTAGCCGAAGTTAGCAAGAGTTTATTCTTTTCATATAATGATGCTCTGATGGCCTAAACAATCTAATTCATCTTCTAGCCTATACTTTCCATAAGTCAGTGGTCTTAGCTAATTGCTGGCAGAAATCATGTGAACCGATTGTTTTTATTGTCATCGGGCTGCCAAGTGTTATGAATTGTTTAAATTCATGTCTTCGTTTTATGCCTCTAAAGTTGTAGTGCACAATTACAAATCCCATTTAGCATATTTCCTTTGGCTCCAACTAGGACTCATTTATAACTGCTTATTTGTCTTTTATAAAGCAGGGTAAATTTTTTTTTATGTATACACAATCAGTGTTTCTTAAATATCTCATAAGGTAAAATGATTTTATTCTAGATTCATTGGAAGATATGCTAGAATGGTTTTAAATAAGGAATAATGAAACCGATCTGCTGTAAATCATCTATTTTAAATTACCTTTTTATCTTTAGCAAAAGTTACTCCTCATTGTCTATAGTAAAATTTAGAAATTTGATGATGGGAAACTAGCCATACAATGTGGGTTTCTCGCAGTGCATATCTATGTTGAGTATAGATCGATAAGGGGAAGATTTTCCGTTATACCCATTAATATTGTTGTATTACAATTAAGATTTTATTGCAACTTATTAATTACAAATAAAAGAACCAAGCTATATCATTGGTCACCTAATAACCTGAAGGCCGTCAGTCGATCTTCCTGTCAACGATGCCGAGGCAAAACTGGATGAGAGTATTCTTTTTGAGAGCAACATATTTTGGAATTAGTTAAAAACAATTTTTTTTCAATTCATTTTTCCCTCATCGATCATATTAGCCAATGACCATTAATGCAACTTCATTCTCAAACCCATCACTCTGGACCTATGGCAGGTAAAATATGTAGTGTCCACTTATTGAATACGCCAGAAACGTGGTTGTTCGGAATTCGATAATGATTGGTCAACATGGTCTCCAATAGCATAGCCTGGTAATTGTAGTTACCTCTATCGGACGTGACTGTCTATGCATGAAAAGAAAGAAAAAGAGGAAGTTTCGGCATGTTATAAAAATTGTCATACTTTTTATGCAATGATTGCGCGAAAAATTCAGCTTATATACTGGTCTAGATTCTCGCTAAAGAGTGAGATAATTTGGTTGTTTTTCCCTCTCTAACACTGGAATATTGTCTAATAATGGAGACTTAAATGCCTAAGGAATATAATTGTTAAATAAGCTTACCTCTTCTTCAATATGTATGTCTCGGTTAAGAGTGGACATTTCACGTTATCTACAGTATACGACCAGGGAAGTTGACGAATCTCTGACAATAATGCCAAGGGTGTTGGTCAACAAGGCCGAGCTTCTAGCTCCACCTGATTTCTGCGAGAGACGGTGCCATAGAGCAGCGAAAGGCACGAAGTTGAAAAGTGAATATGTAGAATGTCAAGATAAACACCCTCGGAAGCCGCTTCGTTCACAGACCAATGAGTCGACTTCAAAGGTGAGGGGCGACGTTGGTGTGGTTAGTCTGGAACAGCACCATCAACATTTGAACCAGGTGAGTCGAGGTGAACCGATAGTGTCATTTCGGTTGAATGACAGAGGCATACAGCCCAATTCCTTTGGAGCCGGGCCATCCTGCAGACGCCAAGTGGATACAGCTTCGTCTGCCATGAAGACGGCTGCTAGGGTGGAATCAGTCGGGCCGGGAAATCGTCTTCGGCTGGATTGGTGCCGGCAATTGTTGGCACGACGGATGAACAATGGACTAAGAAGTCGTCGAGCCACGTATATGAAGAATTTGGCAGCTGCAAGACTTGCGGGCTGGGAAAAGGCCTCCTATTTTGAGGA